GGCACACAGAGAAGGAAATTAGGAGGAAGCCACCTACAGTAATGCAAGGGCAATTACTGTTAGCACTTCCTCTTGTTTGGAAGCATTTTCTCTTAAAACAGGGGTTACAAAGTTCTCATTAGTACAGGTCATCTTCCTATTTTTAAGAAAAGTGCTTATTAAATGATTTATCATTTCATCAAAAACAAATCTGATATAGTTATGACAATGCCACAATTTTTATTTAAAAAAAAATAAAGAATAAGCTTGAAATAGCATCTGTCACACTGGAGGCAATTAGCAGTCATAGAAATAACATTTACGTTGTTTTAAATTCAAAAAAGATAGGCTTGGGTTCCGGCTTGGACTCTAACCCATAGCGTGATCAAGAGTAATTTCATTTCCTCTGTTAAGTTCCATTTCCTCTGTAAAATAAAGGGGCTCAATTTTTATCTCCAGCATTAAAGTTGCCTGAGAGTAGATTAAGTAGAGCTGACAACTGAGCACTTCTGAAAATTCAAACTACTCATTCCATTTTTCATTTATAGATGAGCTTATCCAGAGGACTGTTTTACCTCTCTCCCTCTATGAAAACACAGCCCAAGAAGCAAATCAACTGAGGAGTTAATGTGTGGGCCACAAATCCATCCCCACTCTAAACAGACTAAATTGAAACATGACAGAAATGACTTTTAGAACTACAGTAGAGTCAAATTTTTCCTCAAGCCAAGTATCCAGATAGTCTAATGATATTAACAACTCCATTTGTACAAAAGAATCCGAGAGTCAGAGTGGAGGATATTGGAGCAATAATGTAATCTAATCTTGCCCCTGGCATGGAAAACAGATTCAGAACCATAAACATAGGTAATATAAATGTCTTCTTATCTCTGACCCAGTTCACTGCATAAGCAAAGCCAATGCTAAAGCGACTGAGGCTGTGGTGAACTGGAAAAAGCAAAATGCAAAGAGCCAGTGGATGACTGACAAAAAGAGTGCGGACATAGGCTAGCCACATTTTCTTTTTCAAAAAAGAAAACCAGTGACCCAATGTGTCATGGGAGACAAAGGTGGTGTGTTTCCAGAAATTTTTCATTCGAGCTCCAGAATTATTTATTCCCATACTGCACAATGGAGGGCCTCTTATTTGTATATCTCCTGTTTACATAGCAAAACCAACATCCTATGATTCCTGCACACAGATGCTACTGAAACCTTCGAGCGCAAAGTGTTAGACCTGCTTGTCAAGAAAGAGGGTACCTAAACCAAGATGCACAAAAACAGCCTCAACACCTAGACTCAAAAAGACGCATTTCAGTAATATTTTCTACAAACAGCATTGCATTTGTTCATATGTAAAGAGTCACTGAAGATGACTGCATTGTTTTATTCATAGGTGAACAGACATAAAGCTCTTAGCTTTTCAGTTAACATCCTTTAAAAAAAGCAAGTAAGTTTCATTTAAATGAACTTGGTAAGCAGCAATGCATATGATTTCCTTGAATTCAGATTCAGCACAAAATCATCCCCAAATCCCCCTGACCAGCCTCTGCCTACCACCTACCAGCCACAGTGGGGCAAAGGGAATAGTGGGGAAACTGATTCTGCTACTTTAGCCGGTGTAATGGAATGTTAGAACCCTTGCCCTTCCCTCTTGTTCCTATAAAAACATCTGCCCAAAACGGGTCCAGCTGGCTTGCAAGTATGTTCCATGACACAGGTCATCTTTCAGAGACCCTCCCTCATACTTTTTTGTCTAGTATCCTTTCTGCCAGGATGCATTTCCCTTTTTAAACACTTAATTCTTTCGCCAAAAAAAAAAAATGTTAACAGGTTAAAAGTTAATGTGTTTCACCTGTATCACCTCATTCCATTAGTAAACTTGGACCAGCAAAGGGGCGAATTTGACATACTAACTGTTTGCCCATCTCCTCCGCAGAGGAAAGCTGAGGGGCACTCCAGAGTCGTTCATCAAAATGTTAAGCTCCAATTTGGTAAAATCATGACAGCACCTGCTTTCTGGGAATTATCACAAAATCTCACTCCTTTCCATTTGTTGACAGCCTGCTGTTGGCTAAGAAATCCTCTCACCCATGACTTTTATGTATAGTTTAAGGCCTCTTTGGGATGGCGAGGAGGATGGACATTTCAGGAATGAGGTGGTGATGAGCAATCCTCAGAGAATGGATCTGAAAAGCATCCAGGCTACTTGGGGAGACTTTGGGGTATAGGAGTTCTTCAAAAATTGCCAGGGCCTTGGGAAGTTTCCATCAGTACACATTCACTGAGCTGCAAGAACAGCTCCACCTGGAAACTATCTCAATTCAAGGCCAGGCAGCAAGTATCTGTTATTGAGATGAATTAAGAAGAAATAATATTATGCAATAAATAAACAAGCAAGTCTGAAAATTTGAGACCACAGCCAAGTACAAAGTGCTGAGAAGCAGACCACAAAACTGGGGTTCTTGGAACCAAATCCTAACTTTCAAGTCAAGGCCTCTTCCCAGAGCCTGTTTACTTGCATGATGACACCTCTACTCTCCTATTCACATCCCCTGCTAATCTTACAATGACATCGGGACCAAAAATAGAAAGATGGGTGTTGGCTCCCTGGGGGACTCAGAAATTGTTAATTCCCACACTGGTAATGCCTTTCCTCATGTTTGAATCTAGTTAAGAAGGTGAAAGGGATGGTGCTCCTCCAAGGCCCAATTCAACTACCAACTTTCCCAAGATTAAGCCATGCTCCCCCATCAATCAGGATTGTCACTACAACAAATGAAAACACAAGGTGCCAATTAAATTTTATGTCTAGTAGTAAATAATTTCTTTATGTATCCCAAATATTGCCTGGATGTACTTACACTATAAAAAAAAATCATTTGGATGAAATCAATTTAAGTGGGTATTTTGTATTTCATCAGAAAGCCAACAAATACATGAACATGGTTGCTCTTCAGAGCCTAATAAATCAAAGAGGAAAATTTATCCAACAAAACAGGCAAAGGGATTTTTTTTAAATGCAAAATGTTATAACTGTCTGAAAAAGGTTAAAAGACTCACCTACCTCTCTCTGTGATCAGTTTCTCACGTGGTCTTCCACTATAGCACAACAGGGGCATCCAGGAACAGCTAAACATTTCTGCTGCTTACACCGCACTCCAGACCTAATGAATCAGATATATTTTTATTTATATGTTTTGTGGTCTCTTTATTTATTGTTTTAATTACATTTCATTTTATGACACAGTTTCATAGGCTCTGGGATTCCCCCAGTCCCTCCCCGTGCCCTCCCCGCATGGTGGATTCCTCCACCTTGTTGCAATACTACAGTTCAAATCCAGTCATGATTCTTTCATTGCAACCATGTACCATGCATAGAGTCCAGCATCTTACTGTCCAGATAAATTCAACAGTTTCTGGGGGACCATCTCTGGTCTGAAAGCAGAGCTGGCAGAATATCATCCTGACCAATTAAAAGCCACAGCATAACATCAACAACAATTTACAACATTATGGAGTTAATTGACATGGTATTGAGTCCCCAACATGTTAGAAAATGCAAGTTCTTAACCACATCCTGTGACTACTTCATTGACATTTCTATTTTAGTTTATATACAACCGGCTTCTATGCACCTTAAAATGGCTATAGGGTACTATTCAGCTGTCTCGTGTCTATTTTCATTTTAGTATTTAGCCGTTTATAGTGTTGAAGCATAATTTTTGCTGAACTTGGCAGATTTTAGGATAGTCCAAACTGGCTTGTAATTCTAACAAGGCACATGTCAACAGTTGAGGCGCAGAACAGTTTTAGGAGGGGTGTGCAGAGGAATCTTCAATACCTCAGTGAAGAGTAACTGATCTTTGTGTCCTTCCTAGTAAGGTATGTGTGAGTCCATGCTGACCATTTCCTGTCTGGCTCTAAGCTTTCCTTATTGATCTTTATCTAATCTAAAAAAAATTTTTTTTGGGGGGGGTCTCCAAAGCGACCCTGATGGTCATTACAAGAGAGGGTGGAATTCAAAGTTGGAACTAAGTAAGGACCAGCGAAAACTCCCCTCCTGAGTCCCAGAGGGAGTTTACTGTTCTTCTGTTTCTGAGGTCCGCTCAGGGCTCCCAGCTATTGTTCCGATGACATTAGATCCTGTGAGGAAGGATCTGGGCATCTTTCATCCCATGTGGGAAATGCAAAAGGGAATGGATGACCTCAGAGTTCTTGGCCTACAAGGGCAGTCCAATTCCCAGTGGTCTCCATGGCAGTTGGGATATAGCCCTTGGTGCCCATACTGATAGTCCTTGGTGAGGATCTGGGAGTCTCCAGGGTTGGGATACAAGCCTCTTCCTGTCTGCCTGCTCCACTTTGGGGTCCCCCCACCCCTCTGCTCTGTGCATTTGACCTCCTGTTAAGAGGTTGTCAGGATCACTCTTGATTCCCCCATATGTCTTTATGGTTTTGCTAATGTCTAATACTGAAGGAATCAGATTTATTTAAAACACCTGTGATTCTAATGCTCTGTCACACTCAGAACCATTGAGCTAAACAGCAAACAGAGGAAAGCTGAAGTGTGGTACAGCATATGTGACTATTTTAACTTAAAGTTCGCAAACTTTGGTGCACATTGGATTTACTTAAGAGTTTTTGAAAACTCACTGATTTGATGTAGTAGATAAAGCCATTGCCTGTGGTGCCCAAATCACCGAGGGATGTGGATTTGAGTCCTCCTGGCTGCTCTTCACATCCAGCTCCCTGATAGAGGCCTTGGAAGTCAGCAGAGGATGGCCCAAATGGTTGGGTCCCTGCACCCATAAGAGAGTCCCAGAAGAAGCCCTTGCCTCCTGGCTTTGGGCTAGCCCAGCTCCAATCAATGCAGCCATTAGGGTGAGTGAAGCAGAAGATGGAAGATCCTTCTGAGTATGTAACTCTGCCTTTCAACTACAATTAATACATCTTAAAAAATAATAATAATTAAAAAAACAGACTCCTGGCACTCACCTGGAAACATTCCACTTTAATTGGTGCTAGGAGCAGCCTGGGCATGGAGGAGTTGGGAAAGTCTGTTCTCAAGGTGCTTCCAGTGCAGAGCACTGTTTGGAAGCTGCTCTTCGAACCTGCATTCCTGTGTTTCCTAGGATTAGAGAAACATTGATTACCTTATGGGAAACTAGAAGGCAACTTTGATCTTCCAGCAATTTCATCAGAGGTTATTCTTTAAGCATGTTTTTCCCATGTTGACTTGGATCAGATTTAAACCTTGTTAATGGGCTCTTATCTTCAAGAATTGAACTCTGGTTCTGTTTTTAGGGTGCATATTTGTCCTTATGCTGAAATTTTATACCTGGGAAGATGACAGTCACCAAAACAACACCATAACTCTCCGCCTTCAATCATATCCAAGGAAACTTTTAAGTTTATGGGAAATGGAATTTAAAGGTTCTATGAGTTTTCCTTATACTTTTTCATGTCCCTTCATGAACATGCCACTAACAATGTTTTAGTCAACAATAGACTGTATACAGTAAGATAGTCCCCTATGAGAATAATGTAGCTAAGAGATTATATTGGTTAGTGCCACTGTAGCCATCAAAATACACTAGGACAGTGTATAATGAATGCCTTCGTGGTAACGTATTTGTAATTACATCTGTTATTTTGCCAGTCATCTAAAGGCATAGCAATACAGTTATATATACAGTAAATAATACTTGCAAAGATAATGACTATTATTAATTTATGTACTTACTATGTGTGTGATTATATTTTGGAGTGTATCCCAATTTAATGTCATATAGTCTACCATGTTGGCAAGCAGCAGCCTTATAGGAATAGGGTTTATTGCATGTTTTGAATATATCAAGAGACCACATCCAGCGATCAAACCCTAAACCATTTAAGTTCGTGTAAATGCATCCTCTGATATTCATACAACATGGATGAGAGAGTTCATAAAAGGAGTAAATGTTCCAATAATGCACTTCTCAGAATACATTCCCATCATTAAGTGACACATAACTGCATAATGATTGCACACCTGTATCACTCCAAAGCCATACTTCAGTTAGATACAAAAGGACCCAGTGCAAACATCACAGGTTTGATGCCTGTCTCCATATTAATTTGTAAGAGAGAAAAATAATCAAGGCCTTCCTAAATCAAATGTAGTCATGGAGATGCTGACTTTTCTTACAAATTGCAAAAGGCACACCGATCCCTGGAACTGTTAGTCTTCCAACATTTAAAAGGTTATTTGCCCCCCAGAGATTATTCATCCCTGAACTAACACCAAATGGCTTCAGTGCCAAAGCCCAGAGATCTGAATTTCCTAAGAGGAATGCTGCGTGGGAGAATATGGGCTTTACCCCAGCTGCCTGGGTGATCTGAGAGCCAAAGGAGATAGGGCTGTCAGAGAAGACACCTGATGAGTTCCAGAACTTTTGGTTCTAGAAGTATTTTACAAGACTGAATAATTTATCAAAAGTGGCCAGATTCTTCCAACAACACATTACATGGACAGTGATAGGCCTCATTTGTGCTAAGGCCAGGGGCCCAGCATCCTGCCAGGTAGTGGAGAAATCAACAGAGCCAATAAGACAGAGACTGCCGAAGAGAACGGAACACACCTGATTATACGAGGCAGCTCAAGTTTTATCACCACGGCAAGAGGAGAAGGAGCTTCAGGGATCTGTATTTCAAGCCCACAAAACACATTTCAGGTTTCGTATTTTGAGAAAACTTTGGAAACATGAAAGTATTTTTAAAAACAACACTCCTCATGACTGCTTTTGGGCCTTTTGTTTGCTTATCATTTTATAACAACAGAACCTCAAGGATTATTAAAATCATGTACTCTTAAATACTTTCCTGCTTAGACAGTTAAAAGGACAACATGTGCCAGATTATTTTTGCACGCTATTACGCCAAAATATTAAGAAAATATGAGTTTTAAAATTTAAAATCACTGGGGCTACCATAGTAAGGAAACCCACTGCTTGCTATACCAGCATCCAAAAAGGCCACCAGTTCAACCCCCAGCTGCTCCACTTTTGACCTAGCTCAAAGCTAATAGCCTGAAAATATAGCGGAAAGTGATGCAACTGTTTGAGGCCCTGCCACACCCAGGAGAGACGCATCTTAAGCAACAAGTTCCTGGATAGCCCAGGACCTTGCAGCCAACTGGAACCAGTGTGAACCAGTGATGGAGCTCAATGGCTCTCTGTGACACTTCCTTTCTAATAAATAAATCTCTAAGGAAAAAATTTTAATTGATCAAGGTTAGCTCTTTCTTTAAGAGAACTTATTATGTGAAAGCTGGTATTTACACAAAGCAAACATTTACTTTACTGAAAAAAAGTATTTTACTTGCTTTATGATCCTCTGCAGGAGGGCTATGATATGTATTAAGTTCTCTGGTATGTTTCAAACACTCGAACTGAAGTTACTATATCTATACATAAATATTCAATGGACAAACTTGGGGGAGCTGATTTGTAGCATCGCGGTTAAGCCTCTGCCCGCAACACTGGCAACTCCTATGTTCAAGCCACAGCCGTTCTACCTCTGATTGACAGGAGATGGCCCAAGTGCTTGGATCTTGCACCAATACGGGAGACCCAACAGAAGCTCCGGGCTCCAGGCCTAGGCCTGGCACTGCCCCGGCCACTGCAATCATTTGGGAAGTGAACCAACAAAGAAAAGATAGTCTCCCTTTATATTTCTGCCTTTCAAATAAGTAAAAATAAATCTTGCTTTAAAAAAGAAAAATTTGGATTCAAGTGAGAGATATCTATATGGTCAAAGGTGAATGAAGCCATAAAATTTCACATTCATAAGCTAGTTACTTAATGTAGTACCTCAGGGACATTTACTTCAAGTAAATTTATTAATAAATATCCAGTACTTTTCACTCAGATTTAAGAATAGCAATTTTTTCAAGTCATATTGATCTCAAAGAAATCCATGAATTTATAGATTGCTCATTTAAGTCAATACATTTTATACCAGTTACCTGACATTGGTCAAACTTAGTTTTAGTATCTACTATGCCCCAGGTACAGCAACTCTCCTGCTGGAGCGTCTTAGATATTATGGCCTCTAATGGGAGGAACTGCAGTGAGATAAGCAGATAAGTTTCTGAACTTCCAAAGAGTTACAAGCCAGTGAGGCAGGCACACATAAATTATAGATGATCAGAAACTCCTGTTAGTGTTTTGAAGGAGAAACATTGGACGTTATGAGCTAAATGGGAGAGATGTATCCTGCAGAAAAGGGGTCCCTGGTGAAATGATATTTTAGCAGAAACAAACAGGTCGATTTGCTGCCATTATAATAAAAACGTTAGCTCATTTAAGCTGCAAAATGACCTACTGAATTAGATACTTTATTTCATTTTGTACACGAGAAAACCAAGGAATGCAAAGGCCAACTAGTTTCTCACAGGTAGGCCCTCCCTGGGAAGTAACGGGACCTGTGATTGAATCTAGATGTTGAGTGCATACATAGATTGTATTCTTAATCATTACTCACAGGGCCTAACCATAGAAAAAGCAGGAGGCAAGTGGATTAAGCAGAGGTCGGGGAAATATAGGGACAACTGTGACCTCAGATGACTGACGTAAACCATATAACAAATACACACATTTGACCAATGCAACCATCTCTCCAGCAGAGGCTCTCTTTAACAAAATGTTTGCCGAGACTGCCACCTAGTGGCAAAAGGCAGGAGGGAGTTTATGTGCTGGATCAGCCAACAAGTGAATCCAGCAACTTTCTACGGATGCTGACACAAGTTCTCTATATACTGTGTGCACTCTCAAGTTACTGTGCTTAGAAATTAAATGTGTAAAACTAATCATTATGATATATCAAGGCAGCCACCACTTCTTTCAATTGAATTGAGACACGCATATGAACATGTAGTGTAGAGGTCCAGTATGATTGCTCAGAGGCTAAATCATCTTACATGCACCAGGATCCCACATGGGCACCGGTTTATGTCCCTGCTGCTCCACTTTCCATGCAGCTTCCGGCTTGTGGCCTGGGAAAGCAGTAGAAGATGTCTCAATGCCTGGGAACACTTCTCCCAGAAGAAGCTCCTGGCTCCTGACTTCGTCTTGGCTCAGCCCCAGCTATTGCAGCCATTTGGGGAGTGAACCAGTGGACAGAAGATCTTTCCCTATCTCTCTTTCCCTCTGTAAATCTGCCTTTCCAATAATAATAAATACATCTTTAGGAAAAATAGGGAAACATGATGTGAAAATGACAAGCTCTTGCAGAAAAACTGAATAGTGTTTATTATTATTATCATTAAGAGTAACGAGGCAGAGGGAAAGAGAGATGGGAGAAGACGAAGGGAGAGGGGAATAAGAAAGAAAAAGAGAGAAATAAGAATACAAGCTCCTACTCACCGGTTAACTCCTCAAATGTCTTTGATGGTTGAAACTGGCCAGGCCGAAGCCAAGAGCTAAGAACTTAATCCAGGTCTCCTGCACACTTGGCAGGAATCAACTACTTGAGACTTTTGCCTGGGGCCTCTATGGGTTTGTACTGGAAGGAAGCAAAGGCAGGAACCTGATATGATCCCCAGATCCAGTCACTGGTATGGGACACAGGCCCCTTAAGCCAGCCCCAAGACCTTCAGTTTTATCCCCTCCCTCAGTGACTTGACGCAAATCAATCCAAGCCCACAGACTGGTGAGTAACGTAAATCATAACAAAGGAGCATGTTTCACCATCAGTGAAGACATGGTTCACTGTACTAGATAAAGATCCCCAATGAACTGAAGATTATCAAGACATGAAGGGAAAACATGATGATTATCGAAAGGGAGAAAGTGCTAAGCAGCAAGAACAGTCTCTGTGAAAAATTGAGCCTCTAAGACTCTACTGAAAAGGAGAGAAAGAGACAGAAGCAATATACAGAGTATTCTTCTTGGCAAGTAAAAACCCTACCCGGTAAAAACATACAGCCTCAATCCTAACTGGCTTAAGCAACAAGATCACTTGAAGAATCAGTGTAAAGCTGATAAAATGACCGTCTGAAGGAAAGGTGAGAAGGGGATTAAATACAAGCTGCTTGAATCCTTATTTTCCTCCATTATTCACCAGGCCCCCTCATTTACAATAAATTTT